ATACCTTTGGTAAAACTCTTCACAAATTTATGGCCAACTAAGCATAGATACATGATTCATCTTAAAGAAAATAGAAAGCAATTAAAACAATGAGGCACCATTAGAGTGAAATAAGAAAGAAGACTAAAATGTGTTTCCCAAAATGAAGTATTTGACTGAGTTTAACTTTATAGTAATAACAACTACCAAGATGTAGTTGCAATTAAAGGTTGTGGGAAAACAAAATCACCATGGAAAATAGAAATTACAATAAGAAATAGAAACAACAATATTTTTCAAACCTTTAGATCTCGTGAAGCAGCCCAAACTTTCAATAAAAGCTCAAAAACAGAATTCAGAAATGACCTGCAGTAAATGATATTCATTCATTAAGACAAGAAGTATAAAATAGGCATAGGAATAAGAAAATAACCAGGACTGAAGAAACTGTAATGCTAAGAACAACTGATAGTTTATCTCACATGATGTCACCATCCAAAGGTGAATGCGAAGGGATATCCAGGCTATACTGCCAAACAGCCTGACACCAGCACTTAATAGCTGAAAAGAACAGGAAGATGGTAAACATCGTTAGCAAACTTATTGAGTAAATTAGTATAGTATATTTTATTGAACCTGTGTCAAACAATAAGCGGGGAGAGAGAGAGAGAGAGAGAGAGAGAGAGAGAGAGAGAGAGAGAGAGAGAGACAGACAGACAGACAGAGACAGAGACAGAGACAGAGAGGTAAAAATATGTGCCTAATTGCAAGTATTTTAAAAGATCTTGGGCATCTCTATCCATTGCCAATTGGTTTTTGGTTGAATACTCTAATCCTATCATGGAAGTGTGGTAATTAACAGGTGACGAATGGCCAGAATTTCTCTATAAGGTTGGAGACACCATTAATACAAACTTCCATAACCTTCTCAAGTCACTCTGAAATGTCAAATGAACAAATGTGTTAAGGGTTTGATTAGGTTAATTAATGTGGCAGCCAACACACAAACCTATTTTCTTTTGTTCTTGATTTTAGATGAAAGAATGACATGGAACCAGTGTTTAAAGTTTGTAAGTTATACAGTGTGTTTTGATACAAACTTTCTTATGCAACTTTGACCGTGTTTACTACAGCATTTAACAAATAGTTCCGCAGTCTACCAAATACTCAAGACCTATTTACACCAATTTCACTTCACAATATTAGAAGCAAAGATCAATTGAACAAGAAGGGAAAGTGGTCAATAACAATTCAGCATACCATTAGCAAAAATAGGCCGATGGGCATCTCGTACATTTCCAAGAATAGGTAGAACCCGTGAAAGCACACCTTTCAATCGTGGGGTGAACTGCAATGCTTCAATAAGATTAAAGCAAAAAAGGTATGGCACATTTTAGTTTAATCCAAAATATAAAACCAAGTAACATATGGGATCCCAAGGTGGAAGAGAAGCACAAAGAAAGGAAAGTTTAATACTAACCATCAGCATGGGCAAAGTCTGCTAGTATCTGAACCATAGCTGGTAAAGCTGAGTTTGGCCCAGGCAAATGAAGAAAAATTTCTTCCATCATCTGCCAAATCAAGAAAAGAAAAGAAAAGGCCAAGTAAAAGAAGACTTAATGAAGAATCTCACGGGGAACTGGGAAGGAGCGAGGTAGGGAGGACAGGTAGAAGGAGAGGTAGTGTGTATGTGAAATCATAGTATAAGTGAAAATCGTCCATTTCTGCTAAAGATTGGGGTTGGCCCAACATACCACAATCCAAAGAAAAGGGATGTGATCAGTCAAACAGAAATATATGCTAATAAAATATTACATTATCAGCTTTAGGCAGAATTACTGAATGCTTCTCAATTATTTAAAAAATGGAAAAAGCCTGACAAAGCCCCAGCTTAAACAATAAATAATACTGTAGATTTGGTTGATGCAAGAACTTTCTAAGAATATTGAGATAGCTTGCCCTAAACAGTAAACATCCAGGATCATTTAAGTCTGGGAAGACAATTATATTCCAAATGCAGAGGCAGTCAGCCCTAACTAAGCCTCTTGTTATTTCTTTGCAAGGTTATTTTCTCATTAAAAAAACTGCCGAGCAAACAGCAAAAAGTATCCATATAAACCATTTTTACCATTTTATAGCCAAAATTGAAATTTTTACAAAAAATAATTGCTAAATCCGTATCATAGCATTCCAGTGTTAGATTTCAGTTACTTTGGTGAGTGACAACCAAGATTATGGACAAGCCATTTTTTCCGTTGTACAATCTAAGCCTCAAAGTGGGCTTTGTAGATAAGTACCTTGGCAGTCAAGTCATCCATGATATTTCTGATTAAAACAAAATGTCACATCTCACAGGCGCTTGAAAGAAAAAAAAAGAGAATACTACTATTTTTCAGTTCATCCTAAGAGGTGTTGTATTAAAAAAAGAAAGATAATCAGTTCAAAGATGTAAATGAAAACGTAAACTATGTTGTAAAACTACAAAACTTACTAGGTCTGGCAAATGTCTGCCGATTGAAACAAGAACAGCTGACGCAGCTCTTTGCCAGTCCGCATTGAGCTCCTAAATCAAAGAGAACAATTCAATCATGCAAGTAGTTCTACTATGAGATCAACAAAGCATCATCAGGACGAAGAACACAAAAGTACCTTCGAGGATATGATTTCGGCCGTTGCAATCTTAGCAAGCTTAGCCATGAAAGGAGGGTCGACATCATCCTTGTCCAAGGCTCGAACACCATATGCCATTACTTGGAAAACCCCAGCCATGTTACCAAAACGCTGAAACAAACATACAAAAGAAACCGAACAAAAACCCAAATCTCACTACACATTCAAATTGATAAAAATATAAAAACAAACCATAACAAATGCAATTCCAAAATAATAGACACAAAGGACTGAACTTTACCCGACGCCCTCCTCGCGAAATGGCCGAACAACAATCAAGCACTAGAAGAGGGTTTCTGCAAAATATCAATTGCAGTTCAATATATATCAGTGTACACATATAAACTCAACATATAAATATATATATATAGAGAAAGAGAGAGAGAGAGAGAGAGAGAGAGAGAGAGTACAGAGTAGCAACGTCCTTGAGGGAGGCAATGGAGGCCTCCCTGACGATGGGAGATTCATCAGCGAGTAACGAAACCAAAACTTGAACAGCCTCTGAGATCAGAGCTCACCAAACAGTCAAAATTACAATATCAGAGAGTCTCAATTCGGAGAAAAATTAAATAAAATATCAAAATTTAATATTTGATTGTTCAATTGGCAACTGAAAGTACCTGGAGCGGGAATTGAACTTCCAGAGCTCGAAGACGCCATTGAAGAACCAGAAGAAGAAGGGGAAAAAACAGGGATGGATGTTCGAGAAGAATACACACACAGTTTTAAGAGCCTGCGGCAATTTTATTTCCCCCACAAATTTTTCAACGGTAAACGGTAAATTGTTTTGCCGCACCAGATCTAAACTCCAGTCGGTGACACTTTTCGTTACGTGAAAAGGAAGCTGTGGGCTTTTATTTACTCAATCGTCGACGTAAACGAGCCCAATGGTATATGTGTGTATCACAAACGAGGCCCACATTGCAAATTGAATCCAACTCGGAGCTGATTTTCACATGCTCTTTTTCTTTTTTTTTACGTTTTTATTTTTTATTTTTGGTTCATTGGAGCCTTATAATTTGGAATGCTACTGTTTTAAGGACGTGGTCATTGTATTCTGTGGGACAAGCCATAAGCATCGTACTGTGACGTAAACTTGTTTTAAGAACAAAATGTGGAAAATTTACCTGATCAACCAATTCAGGTGTTTCTAACCCAATTCTCTTAACATTGTTTATTATTGTTTGAAGCAGTGCCGAATACATGGCAGTACAAGTAGGGGCGGCTGCTCCTTTGGCCTTTGGAAAACCCCATGAAGAGCAAGGAATCCACCTCTCTGAACCGACACGGAAGGTATTCGACGAAATGCTACGACGAAATTCAAGTCTATTGTCAATGTTGTGCTGCGTTGCTGCACTGCGCTTTGCAAGCTTGCGGCCAATGTTTCAACCTGTGGTGGAGGTGCTTCAATGGATTATTGGTTATCACAACCAAGATAATTTAGATGAAGCAAATAGGTTATTCAACGAACTACAAACTTTTGGTTTGTGTTTCATCTTTTTTTTATGAGATTTATATTGGAAATTACAATTGAATTATAACAAGAATTACAAAAGAAAGACCGAGACGTTGTGAAAGCAATGGTGTTAGTGGAATGCAAACAAAGACTACAATCCTTAAAAGATGGTACAACGAGGGGTACAACTTCCGGGTACATATCGGGCTATGGTTGGCGAGACCACCGCGAAGGCTGGGACCCCTATTGGATCTTGGTGGAGATTGGATCTTGATGGAGAGAGGCTAACTACAATGTTCCTGACTGATGGACCCAATTCTGCGCAAGGTTGAATGAAATGACCTGCGAGGACAAAGACAAAGGATGGCGAAGCTGAGCCCGGGGAGTGTCGGTTAATCAGATCTGCTACTATGCTTTTACAATGATTTAGCAGCTTGATTTAATCTTTCTGTTATGTTTTGTTTACGGTGGATGATGATTTCGGTCACATTGATAACCGATAAGTTCAACGGCTGGATCAGACAACCCATCTCATCGCCGGATGGGTTCCACTATAAGTCCTTGGGGCGAAAACTAGAGAAACGATGCGATTATACCACAAGTTCAGGAAGCTAAATAGAAACTTTCACATGATCTTTGCTGAATTTGTTAATTTATAGAAATTACTATATCTTCGTATCAACTAAATATTATCTTTGTTAAATTTTAGGAGCATTGTAACCACCCTAATCATTTACATCCTTCCAAATTCAAGTTAACTGAAATAACCGCAAGGTTGCAAAATAGACATGCCTAAATTCTAGAACCATATAAATCCTTGCAGCACAAGAATCTACAGCAAACCAAATTATTAGTTGCAAAATAAAAATTTCTACACACCGATACCCAAATAGATATGGCATATGAAGTGCCCTTGCAGGCCCTTTTAGGGTTAGCGACATTGATTTTTCTTCCTCTGGTGGCTGATGTTGTCCATGCAAGCACTGCATGGAGACTTGCAGCTAAATTATCGGAGGACGATGGACATGACATTCATACGGTTGGCCGCACCCACAACCGGCCAAGGTTCGGCGGTGGCCCTTGGAAGCATGCTCATGCCACATTCTATGAAGGCGGCCCGGGAACCTTTGGTATGAATTAATGCTACTTCTATATTGTACATTAACAAGCTTCTAGGATTCAATGACCATCTTCCGGTGAAATTAAAAAAAAAAAAAAAAAGAAACCTTGTTTAAAGGGATCGATTATATACCAACTAGGTCTTACCTAGTGGTTTTTTTTTCTCTTCTTACCAGTCAATGTTTTAAAAAACTAGCATTGATTAGCCTAGATGACTTTTTGGGCGACTATATAAAGAAACACCTATATACGTCAATCAGGAATGGGCTATAAACTAACTTAGGCGTTGGGAGACAGCGCCTAAGTACTTGAGGTGTTTTTAAAGCGCCACCTAGGTGTTTGATTTTTTAATTTATTTTAAAACAACCCAAACCCAAATCGAAATCGTTTTTGGGCACGGCTTTTATAAACTAAAACTCTTCTATCTTCTCCCACCTTTCTTTACTTCAAAATTTCAAGTCTCAAGCCAACGGTGCCAACCTCCAATCTCACCCGGCAACCTTCCACAAGTTCACAACAAATTTGTAATTTTAAATTTAAGGTTAGAGTTTCTCACCTACATTGAGGTTTATGAAAAATTAATAATTTATGCTCCTACCTAGGATAGGTAATCCATGAAGGGCTTGCCTTCACCTTCATCTTTTAAAACATTGTTCCCAATTTTAGAAAACATTTATAAGTTTGAATCCCACTTCCTATTGATGATAAATTAAAATTTAGAGAGAAATTTCAATCACAACATCTAGGTTCTCAAATAACAGGCATGAGACCACATTTCAAATCGCGGCCATATTTCAGCCAAAACGCAAAGTTAGACAAGCATTTATATTTACAACTCGATCCCAATTTGAGTATGTATTAAAGATGGGGAGTTTTAACGAAAAATGTACTGTACTGTTCACTTTAACAAAAAACCACATTTTTACACTAAAAAGTCAATCCTGATACTATTCATTTTACCCTTTATTTTGTCTTTATAATTAATACTCAAAATTTTCAAGCTCTTTTTATTAGTTTTCCTTTAAAGATGTGATCAGTTGCTTGTAGTGAGCTTTAAGAATAACAGATGTAAATATTTTCCATATTCGAAGCAAGTTGGATTCTGTAATTTTGCTTTTGATCCAGTCGCCGTCAAAAGGATCTTGTATTTTATGCAGACAGTAGAGATCAAGAATGGAACTTGCAGAGTTCAAATTCTTGCCTTCCAAAAATTCACGATGTCAATTTCATACGAGCCGTGGGACGCTCCTAGGACATATTATTTACGATCCAATCACATCATTATCACACGAACTAGTCATTTTTTTTTTTTTTCATCTCACTTGGTTGTTTTGAAATAAATTAGAACAAGATAGTAGTATTTTGATGATGACTACGTGCAGGAGGAGCTTGTGGTTATGAGGATGTGATAAAAGAAGGGTATGGCCTGGACACAGCAGCGTTGAGCGAGGCTTTATTCAACAAAGGGCTGTCTTGTGGAGCATGCTATGAAATCAAATGCGTCGACAACCCTCAGTGGTGCAAGCCAGGACAGCCAACTCTTGCCGTCACGGCAACCAACAACTGCCCCCCCAATTGGAACCAGCCAAGTGACAATGGAGGGTGGTGCAACCCTCCTCGTGAGCATTTTGATATAGCCAAACCTTCGTTCATCAAAATTGCCGAGTACAAGGCCGGCATTGTTCCGGTCATGTACCGCAGGGTTCCATGCCTGAAGACAGGAGGAATTAAATTCACAATAACTGGGAATCCATATTTCAACCAAGTGTTGGTGTGGAATGTGGGAGGAGCCGGAGATGTGACCGGAATGCAAGTGAAGGGCAGCAAGAAGCTCATATGGACAACGATGAAGCAGCTATGGGGTCAGAAGTGGGAAACTGACGCCAAGATGATTGGCGAGTCATTGACCTTCCGAGTCAGAGCGAGTGATGGTAGATACTCAACCTCATGGCATGTTGCTCCAAGCAATTGGCAGTTTGGCCAAACCTTCGTAGGCAAGAATTTCAGGTAGACATAAACTTGTAAATAATGTTAATGTTTGATTTATGGGAAGTGATTTTCACACACCCTCCCTCTTTAGCTTTCCACACATTTTTCTTTATTTATAGTCATTAAATTGAATAAATCAAACAAAATCAACATCCATAATTAAACAGAAGTGTGTAAGAAGCTAAAGACGATGTGTGAAAATCATTTTCCTTATTTTTTATTATGTAAAATTATAAATATTTGCTTTGTCGGAGATTTACCTTTCATCGTGTAAAAGAGATTGAAATGTTCCATGTGTATATATATGTATATATATATATATATATATTTTTTTTTTTTTACAAACTGTTCCATGTAAAGTATAATTCACCTATTGTTTTATATGGTCAACATTTCCTTCAATCTTGGCAAATTTGTGGTTTCGTGTTATAATATTTCTGATAGCGAGGTTTTTATATCCACATTAGTTTTCGGCAAAAGTTTCGTCATAACGGATGTGTGCAGTGAAATCCAAGATTTCATAGAGAGGAAAAGACAAAATTTCAAATTAAAATTGGTCTTGTGACATGGCAAAAGAAATGTGGAAACAATAATGTTACTCTTTCCATCAAATTATCATAATATAACATGTGATGTGTCCAGGGCACGTTAAAACCCTAACATCTTACACCACATTGTCATTACACTTAAAACCTAACCTCTTACACCACATTATTTTAAAAAATAACATTATTACCATCAAACTTTCTTGTAATATGTGTCAATTAATTTTTTAAAAGTTATAATCAAACTTTATTTTTCTCTACACCATTGATGCTATTCTTACCTCAAACTTTCATGTAATACACTCATTAATTTATAAAATATATATATTATTTATTCTTCTAGACACACGTTATTCTTGGAGAACAAAATGATCACCCCCACATACCACTTAAAACCCTAACCTCTTACACCACATTGCCATTACCACCACCACTACACCACAATCGCACATTCATCACCACCACTATTATACTTGTCACCAGTACCACCATAACCACAACTCCCACTACATCCTTGTCGATGTTGCCATCATCACAACCATAAACACAACTGTCATCACAACCACAATCGCTGCCATCGTTGTTGTCGTTGCCCTTACCACTATTGTTACCTCTGTAGCCTAGCCACCACACCCTTTTATTGGCACCATCATCACAACCATTGTTCTTGCCACCGTTGGCGTAGTCAGCGCCCACACTATCATGTTTATTTTTGTCATTATACACAATTGAATCACTTTTATATTAAAATTTGCCAAATCTTTTTCAGTGTTGTAAAACGTGGTCTAAGCAGCACCTAGACGCTGGGTGTCGGGCCGTCGCCGCGATTATTTCAAAAATGTTCAGTAAATCGACAAGGGTATTAGGCAGTGCCTAGGCGGGCTTGGCGGCCTAAGGGCTGAGCTAAGCAGCCTTTGCGGCGGTTCTGTTAAAATATTTCGTTTCACTACACCGCGAGGGTAACAAAAGAGAAATTGAGAGAGTGTGAGGGAAGAGTAAACGTGAGAGAGATACATAGAAGGAATCAAAATAACAATGCAATTGTAGGAAAAAAACGAAAATTTTGATCTGGAAGCCCATATTTCTTCGCCGAAGAGGATTTCTTCGCTGTGCTTGAGGAAATTGATTGAACTCATGATTAGGTTTTGGAAAATTATACAGAGCAAGAAGATGGAAATTAGGTGGAAAGATGGGGAATCAGGCGGAGCAATCGAAGAAGAATGGAAGGGAAAGGAAATGAGAAACTTAATTAGGTGGAGAAGATGGGAATTGGGCGGAGCAAACAAAGAAGAATGGAAGGGTGAGGAAACAAGAAACCCCAAAATAAGGGCCTTACCAATTTCCAATGTGTCAAAAGTCACTGCCTTCTGTCAAAAGCCATCCCCTCTGTCAGATTGATTTCCAAGGTGTCAAACGCACTAGGCTTATGAATTATATTTAAAAAAGTTACCTACTCCGTTATTAAACAAATATATTATATATTATTATCTACTCTCTTTTTTCAAATTATGTACTTAAAATTCTTTACATTACCTATATATATGTATATCTCTTCCTTTTTTAAAAAATAACGTGTTACATTACCTATATATGTTTACTGTTTTTTAAATATTGAACCTGTTGGATGGATGTACTTTGTGTATTCTTCTACTTCTATTTTGCATTTTATCATTCTTCTATTATTCATACAAATATAGTTTTTTAAGTGTAAATAAGCATTTATTTAGAAGATATATAATAAATTTACATAAATCCGACTAGGCAGCCTAGGCACCTAGGAACTAGGCCCCTACCCACCGCCCTACTAGCATCTAGCGTTTTTTAGAACCTTCGAACTTGAAGCCATAATACAAAATTGTTCGGACTATAAACCAAAATATGAATAAGTTGGGACTCTAACCCAAAACATGAATAAGTTGGGATTCTAACCCAAAACATGAATAAGTTGGGACTCTAACCCTAAATAATAGTTGAGTTTGAAATTTAACGTACGTCATGACAATATTGTATACGGTCGTACGAGTAAGACGCTAGATGTGAGTACATGCCTACGAAGTAGTGTATAAGATCATAATCCAAAACGATTACCAAATACATGATCATGCCTAGTAGTGAAAGCAGTATCTCAAAGAATCGTTTTTATAAAAATTCATCAGCTAAATCATATTTCCAACAATAAACCAAGTATAGGAATGATCATAATCATATTTAAAGTCATTTATATAGATATGTATATAATGAAAACCATTTTTGAAATCAAATTTCCACTCACCTCCAGCTAGCTCTCGCTTGATAGCCTGGTCTTTACCAATCTTGGTTAACTTTGTAGCTAGATTGAATCATAATAATATCAAGTCCTGAATTCGGAGACCTGATGCACCATTTAATTTTATTTAATCTTATGGCTGCATCTAATTTTCGAGTTAAACTGCTTACGCACTTTATGAACGGATCAAGCCGATTGTAGCTCATCGTCTATAACAGAATTTCAACGTAAGCTACTTGCGTTATTCCCGAAACGAAATGAAATGACAATGGGAAGAATCTGCCCTTTTTCTTTGCACTTCCTTTCCGTTATCGTAAAGCATCTGCATACGCTCAATTCCCACATAGAAGTTCATATTTTCAAAATCCAGAAAAACAATAAATCTGCCAACTATTTAAAATTAACCAACAACTTCCAAAGTCACTTGACAAAAATCACAGCCAAGGTAAATAATTCTTAAAATTAACGGGTTTAGGGCTTTTCTCCGATTTTTATCTCAACGTCTTCAATCCACACTACACCTTAGCTGGTCTAGCCTGCGACTTCCTCTGCGTTTTCACTACGAATAAAGGTCTCTCACATACAAGTCAAAATTCGAATTAAAAGGCTTGACTCTCAAACTTTTCAATAAGAAAAAGCGAAACTTGGAATTTGGAATATCCACTTAGATATTCTGGAAGCCCATCAAGAGAGGAGTAATTTTCCCTCGAGTCGAGACCCAAATTAAGCAAGATTGGCCGGATTAGGCAAAAAATAGCCGGGAACCATCGAATTTCAAGGCTCCAATCTATGCGTACGCTTTGTTTTAACGTGTAGGTGTGATGCCAAATCTAAGAGGGCTCCGATATGAATCAGAGAGCCTCTGATGTTGTGTTATTTCATTGTACAGCCTAAACCCAATCCCTCCATCTAAAACACATACCAGTAGACAATAGATAAAATACACAAAAAAAGAAAGTGATGTCTGCCAGGAAATTAGAAGGATAACCAGGAAAAAAAAAAAACCCAAGATAAATAGAAAAAAGATAAGGAGTTACAAACCGTTTCCGGTAAGAACAACTCCTACAAATTTGGTTCCCTTATAGGTTAATTTTATAAAAAAAACTAACGAAAAGTCCAAAAAAACTTGCCTTTTAATGAAAAACTATTTTTAAAGGTATAATGAATAGTATCAGAAAAAGGTATAAATGTAGTTTTTCATTAAAAGTGAATGGTAACGGGAGTGTTTTGTTAAACCTCCCTTATTTTATAGCCTAATCCAACACATCCTCTTCTCCGTCTCAAAATTCAAAAATCAAAACGCATAAATAGATGCACCCTAGTCAATTGATCATTAATCAAAGATATAAAATGGCTGCACGAATGAATTAAATTACACTCTTTGTTCTCGCCTCAAACAGTGCCCAAAAGTTCACATCATCCCTATCATCGTCTGTATCCCTATCTACGTGCTGGGAATCCTGGTTTTCCACGACCAACATAATTTGACTCCCGTAGAGCCCTGTTAACGACTCGACTCTTCCACCGTGTGCAAACTCAACTCGAGTGGCTCCGAGTTAACCGCCACGTGGGACATGACGCTCGTCGCGGTGAACCCTAATCGCGTGCTTGCCATCTCCTTCGACAGCCTGCAAGTCACCATCTCGTACAAAACGGACACCGGCGAGAAAGGCAGAGACGTCTTGCTCACAACGAAGCCGGTGCCTCCTCCTCCTTCGCCTTTAGATACAGAAACCTCGACCGCTCACAGCTTCAAGATCGAAACGGTGACCGCCTATGTAGTCGATTACGTGGCCAATCAAATCTCCGAAGGGAGAGCTCGTGGATCGGTGAAATTCGTGTTCGGCATGCTAGGTTATTATAGGTACGTCAACACTTCGCGGTGGTATTTGACTAGGCGTAGGTTAGAGTTTGGGGTGTTCTGTTGCTGGGTCGAGTTCGGGTTTTCACCGGGTAATTGGACCGGGACATTGACAACGATGGATGAGTCGAGGGCGGATGATCCGATATCAGTCCATTTCAAGTAGAGATGTGGTTATAACTTATGTTGGTTGCCGTACATTTTGTTAATTAGGGTTTTTTTTCTTTGTTTCTTTCCCTTGTTTATTTATTCTTAAAAAATATGCAGTTAATCCTTGCTTGATTCGTAATGAAAATTATGGTGAAATTGTTCGTGTTTACCTATATCACAGTTTTTTTCCTTAATGTACC